TGCAAAATGATAGTATTTACAAGTAAACCAAGTAACTAGGTGGTGATTAGCAGTCCTCTCTGGGCTCCCAACCAAGCAAATCGAGCACAGAGCTCGCCCTGAACTGTCGCTTCATAATATCGGCGCGTTTCTCACGATACCTTTTTGAATACGGCGTCGCCGCTCAAGCTGACTGTTTCTAATACTGTACTATGGGGGTCGGGGAATGCGGGGGGGCGATGATGATTATTGAAGAGGGGGTGTGACACGAAATGGATGACCGGTTTACGTTCGGTAGTGGGTAACATTACTTGTGCTGTGTCAGGACTCTAGTCGACTCCTCGGCTCTACGGTACCTCAGTGTGTTTCTGCTAATTGGATCACTTGTGATCACAAGTGATCCAATTTGAAGAAACACTCTTGCGTCACTTTGCCGCGGGATCTCCATGGCGCGCGCCGTGAGTACACCTGTACACCTGTACACGATGCGCATCGTGTACAAGTGTACATGTGTACGGTAACTGTGATGGGCGCTGCTTGACTGGTCTTGAGACGACTGATCAGTCTCCTGGGACCAGGAGAACCCGCTTGACGCTGAGGTGAATCATACACAGTACGCACCAGGCAGGTCCTCTGCACCAGTTCTGCTGCACCAGTTCTGCTGCACCACCTCTGCTGCACCACCTCTGCTGCACCACCCCTCCCTCCGCCTACATGCAATCAAGGCTTGAACGCGTTCCACGCCCAATTTACATCCTTTCCCATCCCACACTCATCTCATCAGCATACTGTAATAGTCTTGAGATGAGATGAGTGTGGGTGCGTATTGCAGGCCCGCATGCAATACAATGCATACGCCTGGGGTCCCGTTGATGCAGTATGCAACTTGTACAGATCATCGCGCACACTCAACACTGCCGTGCCCTGAGAGGCAACGTCGCGATGAAAGGAGGCTCAATTCTACTCTATCGCAATACTTCTTTAAAAAGCGATGCAGTCTTCTATCCTCCACATTACAACCCGACGGGCGCGAGATATGCATAACAACACCGTCTCCGTAACAATACAACCGACACTACAACCAAATCCCCATCGTTCCCAGTCACTCTACTCTGCCACTCTCCTTCTCCTTCACGCTACGGCCCCCACAACACCCATCTCCAAAATTTACACACACACGCGATTTACCGCACGCGCCCCGTCACGCCGACTCGCCGAGCGGCAAGTCCTCGCCGATGCGCTCGAGCAAGTCGTCGAGGCTTTCCTGGGGCTTGGTCCTGGCCTTGCGCATCCCGATGAACGGCGTCGCGGGCACGGTGAGGAGGTTGCGGAACACGGACCCGCCGGTCATCTTGCGGAGCGGCTCCGCGTGCATGCTGCGGAGCGCGAGCGCGAGGCTGCCCTTGTACGTGAACGGCGCGTGCGAGACGAGCATCCCGCGCTCGCGCGAGCGCACCTGCACAAACTCCGTGCGCGACACGGGCACCACCTCCACTTCGCGCCGCCGGAACAGCCTGTTGCGCGCCGCGTCCGCGCGCCGCACCTCGTTCTTGCGCACCAGCTGGAACACCTTACCCGGGATGTACAGCCGGCACCCCTCGTGCACCTTCTCCAGCTCGCGCACGATCGTCGCGTTGTGCGCCGCCAGCTTGTCCCAGTCCACTACCGACCCCTTGAAGCCGAGCCCGATCAGCAGCTTCCGCGACCGGCTCAGGTTGGCCACGTACCGCGCCGTCGCAAAGTAGGGCAGCAGCATCGCCACGCTCAGCCGCGGCACGATGTCCGGCCCGTTGATCACCGTCACGGTGAACGACGACGTCAGCTCTGCGAGGTCGTACGTCAGGCACGGCAGCGGCGCGAACGCAAACGCAAGCGCCCGGGGAAACTCTGGGTCGTCGCGCATGATCATCGCCAATACGGAGGCGGTCGCCCCACCGAGCGAATGACCCGTCGTCATCAGCTCGAAACCAGGGTTCTCGCGAAGTGTCTTGAGCACGGACTCCCGTATCTTGTGAAACAAGTTCCTCGCGCTCCTCAACACGCCAGAATGGCCAAAGCCCTGCACCACGTCATCTTCACCCCCTTGTTCCAGTCTCCGAATACGAATAGGGTCTTGCGTTGCCGCGAAGTCTGTGAGCGAGTCTACCAAATTAGCCGTCCCCCTGACACAGACTACCACAGCCTTAATCTGCCGGTCAACGGCGACGTAGTGGGACGGAAAGAAGCTGGTATTCGAGGACCCTGCGGTGTGCAAGTCCTCACTCGCAATACCAGTGCGCCTGCAAATGATGGCCCGGTCCGTGACGCGCGTCAGGACAACATGAGGCGCGGAGGGCATGCTAACCGGAAAGCCGTACACGCTTTCGGCGTGGCGTAACATGTGGTAGACGAGCTGGACGTGCTGCGGCTTGACCTCGCGGGGAGCGGGGGGGAGCGCGATGGGCGCAGAAGGGGTGGGCGCTGTATTTCTGGAAGGGAAATAGGCCGGGAGACAGGTACGGGCGCGGTTCCACATGACGGGGGCGCGGTGCTTGCGGTCATCTTTCTGCAACTGCGAACGAGGCACAGACGGGAAGGGACGTTCGGGAGCGTCCTTGACGAAGGTGGCCGCCTCGGGCATGGACCATCGGCTCGGGGAGGTGGATTCAATGTCGAAGATGTCGTCGCTGCTGTCTATCGGGGGGTTGGAGAGCGTCTCAGAAGCGGCGTAAGGCCTCCCTCTCGGTCGCTTGAGAACCTTTCCCAACGTGGCGTGGCTGGACTTGTCGAGGGGAAGGCGGGGGCGGCGCTCGCGGACGAGGGCCTTCTTGGCGTTGCGGTCGATCATGGCGGCGTGTATTCGCAAGGCGCAGAGAAAGTCTGTGATCTGGATTTTTGCGATACCATGCTGCTCGGTGACGCGGCGGAACTTGGCGAGGGCTCTGTAGCGCGGGTCGTTCTTGACGTCGCGCGAAAACCCGAAGAGGGCAAAGGAAGAGACCGGGCCGAGCAAAAGCGTGGGGTCGTCTGCATCGACTACGCCGTAGTCGATGTCCAGAGAGGGGATGTGGGAGAGCCTAGAGTCGGACAGGAAGGGGGGGGCGGAGTGGGGCGGAAGGTCGGAAGGCGTGGAGCGGAGGGGTGGGGCGGAGGCGGGGGCGGGGGAGGGAAGCATGGGCGGGGGGAAGGGGGAGAGGCGGGGGAGGTGGAGGTTGCGCGAGCGGTGCGACGTCGACGGCATGGGTGCGGTGAGGTGGAGCTGAGGTGAGGCCGGAGCGAAGGGAGGGCGGGGGGGGGGAATGATGACAGGGATGGAGAGGAGACGGTGGGGCTTTTTGACGTGCCGTATACAGACGTAAAGTTTACAGTACACGTTGGCGGCTCATGTGGGTTGCTGGTGCCCTTAATTTTAGATACAGCCAATTGAGCGGCCCGCTCCAGAGATGACTTGGTTTCTTTTTTCCGTTATTTTAATTAACGAGGGAGGTCGCCCTCTGCTCCCAGGCCTGCTCACTTAGCTTGAACCCCGACGCATATCGCCTGCTTTACTCTTTCCATGGTTTCTCTTATGAAACTTCAGAAACCATGAGAGGCAGGCCCATTCATTCCACAGCCTTGTGTGGCCACCCTACAACCTGGCTTTTCCTTCTACCCGGTTCAATTCATGCCACTGGACCGCTACGCCACATTCACTCCCGCCTCTGATACTCACAGCACAGCACCGTAGCTACCCTCTTGCCATCACTTCCTCCACCAAACAAACAACCCCCTCACTTCTTTATATCCCCTATGACATGCACCAAGCTCACCATAAATAAAGTTTGCCAAATGTTAAGTCCGATCCTAGGAATGACACCTTGAAACAACCCGAGCGGCCCATGTTCCTTCAGCACCATCCTGAAAACCCCCATCATACTCAGCGTCGACTGTCCCGTATTCGCGCGAGCCTGCATCTCGATTCGCGCCACTTCAAACGGATGGTTCCACGACGACATCGCCCCCCCGATCACCCCGCAGAGTGCTTCGTCTCCTTTCGTAAGCTTCGCCGTCTCGTCCGCATACTTGGTCCTGCGCATCCGGATCCGCACAAACTCCGTCAGTCCTTGCCGCGACGCCCAGTTCGACGCCTGCCGAAACGCTATCGCGCTTCCCCCCGGGTAGAACCCCCGTATCCCGCTCTTCTTGTACGTCTCCCGTGCGAGCACCAATGCATTTGTCGACTTGCCGCCCGTCACAGCTGCCGTCACCTACAAACTCACACATATCGCAACAACACACATGAAATGAAACTTATTAGAATTAGCAATCCTCAGCTTTCAATCGATCTCACGCATTCCTCACTCGCCTTCCTCACTTCTTTCAAGCTCCCCGCTTCGCCTGCACAACTTACCAAATAAGTACAAGGCCCCATAACAACCACCTGACAAACGCCGCCCCCCGCTCCCCCCAGCACGGCGGCAGCGAATGGCGACATACCTCCTTTTGCAGCCGTGTCCTTGATGCTTTCTTTCGCGACCAAAAGAACTGCGCCCTTAGTGGCCGATTCAACCATCTTCGGGGCAAATCCTCTCCAGAACGCGCCGACCCCGGTCATGCCGCCACCGCCATCTTTGTAGACGTTTCTGAAGGCTTGGATGGTCGATTCGTTGCGGAAGCGACCCATCCGCGTTTTCCATACTTCAAAGGGGAGGCCCAGAGTCGCCGCCTCCGCCATCTGCAACAGCGCTCCGTTGCGAACGTCCGAGATCGACTTCTTGCCGCTACCACCAGACGCCATTGCGCCGACTGGTCGGTGCCCGAGTGCTAGAGTACGAGGGGATGGGGTAGAAAGAGGATGGCAAATAGGGGCGTTTGACTTTGGGCGCTGAGTTCCTAGCGCGTGGGGGATTGCCCTTGGATTGCTTTGTACAAACTAATAATTCTGCGTACAGTAGATTGCAAATTAGTATGATGAGGTTGTGTCAGTCTGGGAATGCTGTACAATCCCGCACAGTATGGCTCTTTTCTTGGCGCGCTTTGGTCCCCAGCGAGTGATCCCCTTGAACAGCAGTACCCTTGGGTACAGCACGTATGAAAGTGCTGTACAATACAGCACGATCCCCTTGAACAGCAGTACCCTTGGGTGCAGCACGTATGAAAGTGCTGTACAATACAGCACAAACCCTTCTCGTCGCTGACCGGGATACATAGTTGGAAAAACTGCCATGCAACCTTGAAGAGTGCCGAACTAGCGCTACACCCCGCCCGAAATGAAATTCGCTTGCAAGTCTTCAACTTGTTTCGCTGAGCACGAAGCTCCTTCACCATATGACCTACACCATCGTTTCTCTAATTACTAACTAAAAGTAGGGCCAGTGGCACAGAGTTTCAGTGATTCTGTCACGAAGGTATCGACTTTAAAAAAACAAGCCTGCTGTCATGAGTGTACTCTGCTCTAACGTTGATAGAAACCATTTGCTTGCGCATGTGAGGTCGAAGTGTACATGCTATTGTGCTCGGACGGCCGGCCCAAATCCTGCGAACCTACACCTGCTTCACTAGAATTTGGCGGAGGGATTTCATCAACAATTGCACCAATGTCGAACCCAAAGTTTTCATTTGCGAAGTCAAGCCCGAGGTCAAGCCCCGGCCCCCCAATTTCCTCAGCTGCAACAGCCCGGCTGGAGGGCATCCGCGATGACATCCCGTTGCTCCCACGGCCTGCGTGGTGGTTCGCGTCCGGAACTTCCATCCCCAGTCCGCTTTGGTTCACACCGCTGACTACTCCCAAATCATTACGCACAGAGTGCCCAGCTTTCGGATGAATTACTGGTAGCGCTCTAGATACTGCCATGCCGTATCCGTGCATTGGCCCTTGCGGGGTTGCTTTCATCACTGGAGCAACATTTTGCAGGTTTGATGTCGGAGTGTACTTCGACGCCATTCCCATCGCATTCTGCGCTCCTCCTACACCTCGACCTGCTCCAAGAGCTCCAGCATACATTGCTGTCAAACCAGCTGTGTCCTCTACGCTGGCGTTCACGTGGCCCGCTTGAGGTCTTCCTCGGCTTCTGTGCGCCTGGCTGTTCTTTGAGACTTGATGACTCTGCGCCTGTGGGAGACTGGATGCCATATGTCCTGGCGTTTGCTGTGGTCGCAATTGAGGCTGTTGACTTTGCCTCACTTGTGCCGGGGGCTGTCGGCCATGAGAGCGCTGTTGCTGAGATTGGTGATAGTGCTGCTGCTGCTGCAGTTGGTGTTGCTGAATCAGCTGCGCCATCATGTTCACACTAGCGGGGTGAGGGCTAGTGCGTCCCCCTGCTCCGGAAATGGATCTCGTCGGATCCTGTCCGCTGGAAACAGCTCCAGTAGGATGAATCGTTTTCTTGGTGCTGGCCTTGGAAACATTCAAGTAACCTGGTCGTTGTATTCCACGCTCCGAGACAGGTTGACTTCCAGTAACTGCCGGAGACGGTCGCACTTGGCCGTTCAGCTGGGCACCGATAGCGGAAAAGGCAGAATACAAGTCTGGGGCAGACCCGTAACTCGGTAACGCCACGTTTCCAAGCTCTGGAGGAAGCTTATTATCCCGCTCCTTGACGCGAGCTAGCCAGTTTGGGTTTCCCGAATTGCGCAAGTGTCCGCAACGGGCGCAACAAACAGTAGTACCTTCTTTGAACAAGTAAAAGTGAGAGCATTCGCTTGACGACACCGACATATCCACCAGCGAATCCAAGAGCGCAGCATCGTCACCTTGCCCAACTCCACGAGGCTTCCTCGACACAGCCCCCTTTGGATGTCCGTCTAAAGATCTAGTGGAGGCCTCCTCACTTCCGTCCAGCGGCGGCAGACTGCTGTCAGTGTCACCCTCATCGTCTTCAGCAAATTCAGAGGACAGTGATGAAGGGGAAAAGGTGTCTTGTTCAATGCTTGGTCGCCCATTCGCGGTAGTCGGTTGAAGCACAGGATAAGACCCATTCCCATGTGTACTCTGTGCTTGTGCTTGGGATTTGGGTCCCTTCCCACCGCGATGTCGTGCAGCAGACCGCCTCGAGGTGGCGAGCGCATACTCAACCTTAACCTGAGCCGATTCTGCCTTCACCGAGGCCTGATCCATCGCCTGCACCTCATGAAGCCGCTGACGCGCATCCCTTAATGCCTTCTCTCCAGCTGGGACGTTGAAAAGGTCCGACCTCGCAACGTTCACAAATGAGTTTTCATATCCGGCAATAACTGCAGCTATGCCTCGAGCATCATTGCTGCGCGTAGTGAGCGCAAGCACCTGACGACCAAGAGCGGCGATCTCCGTGGCAAGCTGGTCAGCATTGTCGCAAAGGGATTTCATAGGTTGCCCATATTTTCGCGCGCGGTCTGACAGATCACCGAGACGTTGAACATCAGGCCATGTCCAAGAAGAGCGCAATTCCACATCCTCCGCCGGTGTATTCTCATCTTGAGATGAGACCTGTGAGAATTGCTCTCTACACTTCTTCGTTTCTTCGATGGCCCCTTCTAGTAAGGTGCGTGCGCGTGTAGCCCTTTGTAGTCTCTCAACCTCGGCACGAGCCTGCTCAGCTTCCGCAAACATTCCAAGTGTTGTGAGCTGTTTTCGAATGGCCGTCAACGCAGAGACATCCGCTTGCGCAGTGGCGTCTTGGAGGATCTGAACTGCTTCGGCTTGCTTTCTCAGTTTCCCAGCCAATTTTTTTGCCGTTTCGATCTCAGATCCTAAAGCCTGAAGTCCAAACGACTCGGCCATTGCAGCTGCCTTCTCAATAATAGCTGGGTCTCCAGAATTGCTGGCTTGTCTGAGTTTTCTTCGCTCCATTTTCAACCACTTCGTCATTACCTTCTTCCCAGACTCAATCGTTGTCGCAAGCTCCGACTGCTTCGTTAGAAGAGCACTATTCGCAACATCAAGCGCCTTTTCAAGTTCTACGATGTCATCAGATTCAATTGCTTTCGCTAGGCGCCCTTGAGCCGCTTTCTCCTTGGCTCTTGCCTCAGCTTCCTTGGCAAGTTCGTTCTCTCGCTTAGATTTCAGGTCATCAAGGAGCTGGTTAGCAGATTCTAACGACTTTGCAGGGTCGGAACCCCCGAAAACACGTGTCGCAGCACCGTCACCACCTCGTTTCTTCAGCTCAGACACCAAGCCCGATACTTCTGGCAGAGCTTCCGCCAAACCATCAAGATTTTTCTTGCTTGTTGCGACCTTCATATGGCTCTCCCACTTCTCCAAGTTAGATATCAAACTGGACACAGCAATCGACTCAACGACCACGGGGTTCGCTTTGTCCAAGACAGTGCGAGTTGCGCGATTCGTAACCCTTCCGAGCGAACGTGGATCGCCACCTTGTAGGGCCGCAGTAATTGCCTTCTTCACCGTCTGCTGAGTATTATCCCGCTTCGTGTCTGCGACCTCTCTTTCTTTCTCCTCACGCATGCGCTTCTCTTCTGCCAATAAACCAGCAAGAATCTTCCTCGCTTTTTGCACCTCATTGCCGAGGCCCACTTCCATTGCAAGCGGGGCAGAAACAACTGAACTTGCTGTCCCAGCAACTTGCTTCGAATGACTTCCTCCAGGAGAATGGACGTGTCCAACATGACCATACGCATCTACGTGTGATCCATAGCCATTCATGTCGCTGTGGTCCAGATGGCCGCCTGCACTGATGTCACCTCCCACGGAGGTTGCCAGATGAAGGACCAACTTGCTCACATGAGCAATGGCTTCGGTCAGTTTTGAGACAGATCGCTGTGAAATGGCCTCTTCAAGGCGATCACGAGCATCGGTTGCTTCAGCTTCTCTCTTCTTTATCTCGCGCCGGCGCAAGGTACTTTGTCGGTCCTCCTTCACCACTCGTCGACGAGATCCGCCGGCTCTATCTTGAGGGCCTGCAGAATTCTCGGCTCTGGATGCCGGAAATGCGCTTTCGTCACCTTCTGCAGACCTTGGATCATAGCGATGGTATCCAGTGTTAACGTCAGCGACTCGATCCGAGTGATGATAGTGATGATGATAGTGGTGCTGGAATGACCCATGTTCATCGGTAGCGAAATAAGAGCTGTCATCTATCTCTGCGTCGCCAGGAAAATGATAAGACAGTCGCTCCTTCTCTTCCAGAGGCAGTGGTATTGTTGATCCGTTTGGAGCGCTGATATCTGAACGATCAACAACACCTTGAGAAACACCTGTTGCCGAAGTCGCAGCCGTGTTTGGTTCCCCAATATGCGTCGAAATGGTGGAAGCGTTCATGCGTTGCTCTTTGAGGCGCTGGATTAGTAATCGTACTACGTCCTTCGCTTGGTGATGGGCCGCATACTGCACAAGTGTCCAATTGTTTCTGCCAATGCCCTTGCAGTTGTCGGTGACAGTGGCACCATGATTAAGGAGGGTGACAGCGCATTCGGCATGCCCGTTCAGAACAGCAAAGTCCAAGGCTGACCACCCACTTTTCGACGTCACTTCATTCACAAACGCTCCCCGAGTTAAAAGCAGATCCACAACCTCATGGTGACCCTTTGAAGCAGACAAATGCAACGGAGTGAGGTAGTCGTAAACCTCTAGATCCTTATCCAAAGTGGCCTTGATGTTTGCCTTACAGTCAATTGTCGCATAGGCATCAAGCAGAATCTGCACAACTTCCAAGTTGCCGTCATCGGCAGCAATGAGAAGAAGAGGTTTTCTTGTACAATTCACCTTTGCCCCAGCCGCAATAAGTAGCTTCACAGCGTCTGCGTGGGCTCCCTGAACCGCGTAGTGTAACGGAGTTACCCCTTTTCTGGTTGTAGAGTCGACGCGAGCTCCCGCTTGCAGAAGCAGTTCAACACACGGCACAAAGCCGTTGGACGCAGACAAATGCAAAGGCGTGTACTTGCCTTCATCTTCGTTGTTGGGATCGGCGCCATGCTCGAGTAGCATTTGAACAACTTTTGCAAATCCTTTCTGCGCAGCAAGGCAAAGGGGAGTCTGTTTCTTCGCAGATCGCGCGCTGACCGGTGCCTTACGATCTATGAGAAGTTTGCAAATGGCGATGTGACCGCCCCCTGAAGCCGCAAGGTGCAGGGCCGTCACGCCATCACCGCATTTTGTAGATGGCTTGGCTCCGTATTCGATTAGTAATTGGCAACACCGCATATACCCCTTGTGCGCCGCCCAAGCCAACGCGGTCAGTCGCTTCTTCCCATGGGTCACGTCGAGATCCGGCTTGCATCTCCGCAGCAACAGACCAAGGCACTCAGGTTTCCCAAGTTGAGCCGCCAAAATTACTGCAGGAAGACTGCTTCCTACACCTCCGTCCGGAGGACCCCCCCCTGGGTGTAGCAATGCCGGAGCCTCAGTCGCTGCCGCTCGCTGACTCCAAGTCATTCTTGATAACAGAATAGCTATACAATGCGGATGACCTAGTCGCACGGCCCTACCTAACTTGGCGGCAAGCCCGGCTCGGCCATCACCGAGGCGTCCTTCACCCGAACAAAAGTTGCAAATCTGCCGTATTTCAGACAACCCGCGCGCGTCAGCAGAGGCCCCTTTTCTGCTGAAATCCGAATCGTCAAAGGAGCTTCGCCCTCGCGGTCGCCTTTCCGCTAGAGGCGAAGGATCGGAGCAGAGCACGCAGCTGCAAGGTGCAGGTGGAGGGGGAATGAGGTCGGCATCCGAATCATCATCGTCCGGATCTGAGTCAGACGACGAACCCGAGGTCGATCCCTGCACTTCCACAAGTTCTCCATCGGCATGTAGATGCCCTGGCAGGCCTTGTTCAACTCCCACTCCGTGGCCGACGTGGGCTGCCGCCGTCAGGCTTGCGTGTGGATTGAGATTGCCAGAAACATCATACAGACCTGCATGGTACGCACCCAGGCCTGCGTGATGCTGATGTTGATACGAGCAAGAACATCCAGCGTGTCCCAGTGGCGGCGGCGGTGGCGGTGAAGAGAGCGACGAAAGGCCTGTGACCGCTGGAGGTGGAAGCGGTGGAGACAGATCTGCCGTCGTCGGTTCCGCGCCAAACATGCGTTCGAGCAAGAGGCGAGCGCGTGTGCGGACATCCAGCGAGACGTGGGTGGTCAGGGCCTCGATGCGCTCCACGCCGTGGGCCTCTGCGACAAGCGAAGCCATCTTGTTGTACCCGTTGGGGTCCGAGGCAGCTGCAATTTGTCCGCTGATGAGAATATTGCGCAAGCCCTTCAAGGCGACGGCGGCAACGGTGCCGCAGCCCTTCCACAGGACATCGAGTTCTTTAGAGCAAGTTAGGAGGTTACATAACGCACGAACGCCGTTCTTCTCGGCAAGGTATGCGATCTGGTTGGGATCGCGGTTGCTCGATAAATTAAATAAGACCCAAGTAGCGTCCTCCCGGCAGGCGCCGTCCTGATTATCCAGTAGCTTGAGCAGCGGGGGCAGAATATCGGCATCTAACACATCCTGTACCTGATGCGAAGATTCTGTAATGTTGGAGACAATCCAGCATACCTCCTTGCGGATGCCGCGATCGGCCGACGACAGCAAAGCGCGCAGACACGGGAGGGCGTTACTGTCAATGACGACCTGTGTCTGGCGATCGTCGCCGCAGGCGACGTTGCCCAAGACCTGAAGGGCAGCAGATTGCACGGAGATAGGAACGTTGCGTGACTTGGAGGGGCGGAGCAAAGCGACGAGCTTTGGAACGACATTCGCCTCCAAGATAGCCTGGATGCGGTCGTTCTGGATGCCGTCGCCGAAGAGCTGACACAAGCTCAAACAAGCGTCCTTAAGGACGTGCTCGTCTCTGCTATCGTCCAGCCGGTCGGCGAGCGCAGAGGCGGATTTTCGTACCTAATGTTCCGCAAAATACAAAATCGCAAGTAGACGAGCAAATGAGAGAGTACGGGAGGTCGTGTCAGAAACATTGCGTTGCGATCGCAAGTTGGAGAATGGAGAGGGTGTAATGAAAGACCTGGGTGAAGGCTGGCACCCAAGAAAGCGAGAAGATACGGCCGCTGGAAGGTAAAGCGAAGGAGTGGCGGGAGGGGGGATCAGCAATGATCTCGGGGTGTCCTGGGCGACTGTCGGCGGAGCTGTGGCAGAAGACACAGATGCCGCAGCCAGAACAAGAAGGCGAGGGGACAAAAAAAAAGGCGAAAGGAAAAAATACCTGTGCAAGCGACATGTCGTGAACCGAGTGAATCGCCTCGCGGGGCATGGGGTCCCAAGGCGGGGCATAGTCGACCATGTGGCGAAGCAGTGCGGCGACGAGAAGTTCATACACAGCAGAGAGGCAAAGGTTGCCCTTGCGCGGTGGCGGACGGGGGGGTGGGGGCGTGGCTGGAGGATAGAGTCGGGGGTTGTGCGGCGGTTGCGATTGGCGAGGTCGGAAGGAGGCGGGGCGGGTGTGCGGGCGGGGCGGGGGTAGAGAGGCTGGCAGAGGAACGGAAAGACAGTTGCGGGGGCTTCTGTGAGTGGGAGGATGGTTTGAAGACACGCGGGGGACGTATGGAGGCAGTTGGAGAAAACAAGCAAGTGTGGAGCACGGGCGTGAGAGAGGAGAGAGATGGGAGAAGCGGGGGGTGGGGGGGTTGAGGCGAGGGCTGTTGGGTTCGGTGAGAATGGAATTCGAAGCGAACGCCGCCGCGTTGGACACGTGTCCTGGGGAGAAATGTTTGGAGAGAGTGCGATTTGGAGGGTTCTTTTGGGGGCTTGCGTTCAAAACGGACCGGAGAAAGACGCATGACACCACCAGCCCCTGCTTACAGTCATTAACAAGCTTAAATCATGCGTTGGCAATTCTTAAACCCTTCTTAAAACTGCTTTGTGGAGGGAAAATAAAATAAAGTCCATTTACAAGTATACAAAAGCCCTACCTCTTTCTCTCCCCCGGCCTCCACACTAGCAGCTAGCTAATCGTCACCTCCTCCTCCTCCTCCTCCTCCGACTCGATCGCGCGTGTAGCCATCTTCCCGACGGTCCACAACGCGCCCACGGTCGCGGCTAACCCCAAGGCGACCAGCCCAGGGTTGATGTCAGCGCCTCCCACGCTCAAATCAGTCAATGTATTAACCGCGGCCCCCGCGCTCACATACGCGATGGTCCCCGGCAGCATGCCCAGCCACGACCCCGCGACATAGGGAGCCAAGTTAACCGACGTTAGCCCGTACAAATAATTGGAGATGGAAAACGGCAGCAACGGTGACAAACGTAACAAGAGCACAAACTTGAAGCCCTCACGGCCTATAGCGCGGTCCATGGCGCGGAAGCGCGGGTACCGCGACGCCAGCTTACTCACGGAATCCCTGAGGCCGTAGCGGGCGATGAGAAAGGCGGCGGCCGACGCGGCCGTCGATGCGGCCGACACCGCAATGGTTCCCTTGACGACCCCAAACAAATAGCCGCTCCCCAACGTCAGCGGCAGCGCCGGGACGCCGACGAGCTCGAGCAGAAAGTACAAGCCCGAGTACAAAAAAACGGCGCTCGGACCGAGCGTCTCGAACCATTCCGACAAGGCGACCAAGCGGTCCGGGCTAAGCACGCCAGAAACGGCGGCAACGCCACCGACGGCGAGCGCGGCAAGAAAGGTGACGGCCGCGGCGATGAGCCTGAGGTCGAGCTGCGGCGGGGCGTCCTGACCGGCGTCAGGGCGTGCGGCGTCTGCGCTGGCCCGCGCATCGTCCGGCGGCTTGGCGTGGTCGCCGACGGCGGAGGGGCCGTCACGCGAGACGGCGCCGTAGTACGGGCGGGCCTGCAGGTTGATGTTGTGGTCCGGGCGGACGCGCACGCGGGTGTCCCCGACACTTCTGTTCAGAACGGGCGGA